CCAGTCTGTGCTACCAGCTGACAACGCCCACGCGACCCATCTGCCGGGCCCTGGCCAGCCCCACATGGCGCATGTCCATCGCCCTGGACCGTCGAACATGAATGAGCGGCTGACGGAGGACTACCGGGCGGTTGCACGCGAGAGACCGGCGTCGAAGACGATGCTCCTCGGCCCTATGCAGTGGAGGGCAGAGGCGGTGCGCGACGATTTTCTCACTGCGACGATACGCATGCGAGATGTCCTTGGCATAAACAATTCCCACATCATGAACGTGTCCCTACACGCGACGCAGACCTATGTGTACGCCTCCTTCAAGGCCGCATGGATGGCGCGGAAGCTCGCGGCGGCGTGGAACCACGAGGGCATGGCCGAGTATCCAAACACGCATGCGGAGGTGGTGTCGGTGTAGGCAGACCAACCCGTCCTGTAAATACGAATGCTGAGGCTGTACATAGTGAGCAGCAGCCACGCGATGCACTTCGTGTAGCAAGCTGGAACATACATGGCAACCTTGCGCTTAAACTGAAAAGTGTCGAACTGCAGCGTGCATTGATGGAGTTTGATGTCGTATTCGTGCAAGAAACACACCTTCGCCCAGGGCAGGTCGATCAGCTTCCTTACCTACAAGGCTACGAAGTCCTTGTCAAAACGCGCGACGATACCCCGAGCCTGGGAGCACCAGGCGGCGGAGTCGCGGCGATAGTGCGTTCATCACGGCGGTGGACTCATCACAGCGCTTTAGGCGGGCCAGACATCCTGGTATTGGAAGTCGAGGGCTGGATGATGGTAAACGCCTATATCCCCCCGGTACAGTCGCATTGGTTCCACCTGGCGGTTCAAGGGCCACTTGAAGTCCTGGGTGAGGTTCTCGCTGGCATTCTAGGCGACGATAGCAGTGCACGGCAGGTGCTTGTTGTAGGGGACTTTAACGCGCGCACACAGGCCCTCACCCCGCCAGATAGCCCAGCTCGTGTGTCCCCTGACCGCGGTCCAGTGAACCAGCATGGACGGGTACTGCTACAGCTATGTCGTGACTACGACTTGCTAGTGGCAAACGGAACGGCGATGCAAGACGCGGACAGCCTGCAACGATTCACGTCGTTCCAAGCAAACGGCCATACAGTAATTGACTATGCGCTGGTCTCACGGGGTGCATACAGCGAGCAACATGTACAGCTACGCATCCTGCCTCGATGGGCCCAATGGTCCGACCACAGCGTACTGGCCCTGTCAATTGAAGTCTGCGACGTCGAGGGCGAACAGGGCGAGTGGCCCACGCGGCCCGGAGAGACGACCCCGAGGACCCATGAGGACGGAATGATACCGAGATCGCCACTGGATAGCTTACTGGACCGTGTCCTGGAGTGCACGTACTCCTTGGAAGAGAGTCTACGGGCACTCTACGGTCCAGTGACGGTATGCCCAGACTCAGTGCAACACGTCTACACCGATGGCTCCTCCATTCAACAGGCGGACGGGTCTCGACGAGGTGGGGCGGGAGTGTACTGGGGTTATGCCTGCCCGCGCAACATAGCAGCTATGGCCCCCAGCCCAGGGACTAACAACTGCGCGGAGCTCTATGCTATCCTGTTGTGTGTGGCGCAAGCAGACCCTCAGCGGGTACTCCGCATATACACGGATTCGGAGCACGCAATCCGTTCGGTATGCCACTGGGCCCCAAAATCCGCGTCTATGGGCTGGCGGTGCGCTAACGCAGAGATCATCCGCAATATTGTCAGCCTGATAAGACGACGCACGGCCCCAGTGGAATTCATCTGGGTGAAGGGACACGCAGGGAACACGAACAACGAGGAGGCCGACAGATTGGCCCGCACCGCTGCGTCAATGCAAGGACCACAGGCACAGTTTCAGCCGCTAGAGCCCCGGTGGGCAGGCGCCGCCGAGGACCTACAGCGGTCACAGGACCAGGTGGTAGACCAGGCCATAGAACTCGGAGCTCTGCTCAAGGTCCACACAAACCTACCCGAACACACAATGCCACGCGCGAAGCCGGGCGACGCTGAGGCAGAGGGACTACTACGCACGGGAGACGGGCTGCCAGAAGACGCAACGCCCGAGGGCGAGAACCTGAGACGGCTCAGAGAACCCCACCTCCGAGACCTACTGGCAACAGGGAGCGCGAGTGCGGACTTCTGGAGGACGTACCGTAAACTTGTCGAGCCTGCACCAAGGCCTCCACGTGTAACAGCACCGCAACTGCGGGAGGCCTTTGAGCCCCGCATGAACCCCCCCCTTCAGCTACCGGACAACTTTGATGCGGTGAGATACGAGGTGAATAGAGCCTGGTCGCGAACGTTGCCCAAGAGTACTGTCGATCCTTCGGAGCAGGGACATTTTGTTCGGCCATGGGCGATGTCGGAACTGGAGGATGCAAAAGCTCACATCCGCGAACACTCGCTCAAGTCCGCAGTGGGGCTGGATAAGGTTGCCTACGAGAGAGTCCTGCGCGTACCCAACGAAGAGTTACTCAACCTCTTCCAGGCCTGTGTCGATTCTACGGACGCTCCTACCACGTGGTTGACAGCCTCACTGACAGGTGCGCGTCACTGGAACGCTTTCCCAGAGCTACATGCTAATCGGTGACAACGGGGGTACAGGGATCGGGAAACGGGGGAAAGACCTCGACGAGCCCGCTAACTACAGAGCCGTGGGTCTGGAAAGCTGCATGCTCAAAATGCTTACCCTCATGATTGAAAGGCGCATACGAAACTGGGCGGAGACTACCGGCAAACTGCCAATGTCCCAGAATGGATTTCGGGCGGGGCGGCGGACAAATAACAACGCATTCGTCCTGCGCACAGCAATTGAGAAGGCTCGAGCAAGTGGGAAGCCGCTATATGTGGCGTTTGTCGACCTCTCGAACGCGTTCCCATCCGTGGATCAACCAACTCTGTGGGCCAAGCTATATGACGCCGGGTGCCGGGGTCCTCTGTTTGACTGGCTGCGAATGCTGTACTCGCGCCTGACATACGTCGTTCGGGCCGGGGGTGACGTGTCGGAGAGATTCCGGGCACTGGCTGGTATACTCATCGGGGATCCCGCCTCGCCCATCCTGTGGAATCTCTTCCTCGCCGACCTGCTGCTGAGGACGTCGCCGGACGATGTGGTGCTCGCTGGAGTCGCGGTGTCACACCTGGAACAGGCGGACGACATTGTCATCTTCTCGACGAGTGAGGGTGCACTGCAACACAAGCTGGACGACCTGGGAGCGTGGTGTGCGGTGAACTTCGCCTACATTAATGCTGTGAAGACGCAGATAATGGTATTTGGTAAAGTACCTCACGCGCCGCAGCTGTATATTGAAGGCAGGCTGCTCGCGGTGGTCAACTCCTACGTCTACGTTGGTATCCAGTTCTCGTCCGCTACACGGGACGTGTTTGCACAGCACACGGAGTCAAAAGCCTCCGCTGCGCGACGTGTTGCAAACGCGTGCCTATCAATCGAGTCATACGTCGGACGGTTGCCACCATGGGCAGCGCTCACCCTCTACCAGTCGCACGTAGACCCGCATATCACAGCTGGCTGCGAGGTAGCGCTCGATAGCAAACAGACGTCAGTCACGCAACTCGAGTCAGTCCAACTGGCGTACCTTCGTCGGGTGCTCGGGCTCAACCCCCGCTCTGTGACGGTGGTACTCTTCACCGAAACAGGCCTATGGCCAGTGCGATACAGGCGTCTTGCCCTCGCGCTAAGGTATCTTCAATACGTGCTGCTCCAGCGCCCTCCGCTGCCCCTTGCGGCTTTGGCCGAGGCTCGGACTTTGGCCCTTTCTGGGCGTGCTTCATGGCTGGGTGACCTCCACCTTGCTCTATCAAAGCTGCCGGTCCCAGTACCGTTCGACATCACTGCACCGCTCACGGCGGATCTCACGGAAAGCTGCCTGGAGGAACTACGGCTGTCACTGGTCAGCCACCTCAAACAGCAGTTGACGGATTCACACCGACTCACCATCCTCAAGGCGCGCCCCGGTCAACGGGCCACGCTTGAGCGGCGAGCATACCTCACCATCGCCGACCGGGCACAGCGTTTCGCCCTATGTTGGCTGCTGGCGTCGGATTCCCCATTGGCCGTTGAGGTACTGCGCCGCCGAACACCACCGGTGCCCCGTGAACAACGATCATGCAGGTTCTGCGAACGACGAGGATTAGTGGAAGATGAAATACATGTGCTGTTACTTTGCCCATCAGAGCTGTTGCAACAGTCCCGGGAGCGTTTCCTGGCCATAGCATTCGCCCGCCAGCCGCTATGGCGAATAAGCTGGGCACGCAGGCCCGAACGGTTTCTGGTGGACTGTGTGGAAAACAAGAACATAGTGGCTCACCTCGCCGAGCACACACATACGATCTTCCAGCTTTGCGAGACTGTCCCCTTGGTGGTGGTTGCCCCCGAGGAGCAAGCCCAGACAGAGGCCTAGCCCGGCGCTCGGTCCCTCCAAGCCGTCCCACGTGCGACTATATCATCGTTGCTGCCTAGGGGACTCACCGAACAGCTACTACGACGTGCTGCTAGCACCGAGACACGGTGCCCTATCCCTGCCCACCACGCCGGATGGAAGACGTTTGAACCCATCCGGGTGATCGTGAGGACAGCCCGAGGCTGTCAGACACTGGTCTGGTGCTCTGTGAGTGTTGTCAGATGTCCGGGGGACCGGCACTGACTCCTGGGGGTTTTTTCCAGTTTTTCCCCCCAGGTTTTAACAGAGTGTCCCGCCCCGCCGAATTCGGCGAGTGGGCCGAGGCCGCGAGAGGATGACCCTCTTGGGACGAGTGTGTGACAGGGATGGATGGGGCAGCGGGGTCTTCTAATGCAGTAATTGTCGGGTAGCTTAGTACGTAGTTCTATGGGTTGTGATGTTGTACCTAGTGAGCGCTGTCGCCGTCAAGAAGCCGATGCGCATTTGCGCTATCGGCCGGCGGCTAAATGGACCCCCCCTCCTCCTCCTCCTCCTCCTGCCATTCTGGGCCGCGCCTCCTCCTCCTCCACCTGTCGCGGTCCCTGCACGAGTCTCAGTGAGTACACACACTTTGTCGACTGCAAGTATCTCCTTTGTAATGATCAGTCACTGATACTCTACACACTGTCGAACTCGGTCAGTTGTGACTTGCTACTAACGAATCCTTGTGCTTACTGGGCTGCTTACGAGAGTGGGGGCCGTGACATCGGCGGCTTACCTCGGTGTGGTGATCTAACGCCGGCGGGAACCGGTTGCTGAGCGCTGTTTGTCCACCGAAGTGGCGGTTGCATTGCTTGGCCAGCGGCTGAGGGCTGACAGGTCCAAGGGCAGTATAGACTCACTGTACTACATACATACCTTGTAATGAAATCAGTGAGCTGGACAGCCAGGACACCACCTACCTGAGGCTGCCAGTCAATCCCGCTGTACACCAGTGGAACTGGCTGACAGCCTCGGGCAGGCAGTTTCGGAGCCTGGGATGATCCCCACTTGCCAAGGACTTCTGTTTGACGATGAGATCCGGAAGCATCAGTTGCTAAGATGATTATCTAATGATTTCTACTTTTGTCAGACAGCATAGCATGGCTTCAGTATGAGGAAATAAGAGTTTGAGAGATTCATGAGCATTTGAGACCTCATTAGACACAATGAGCCTCATTCTGAATTCCGAGCATGAGGAGCCACATATCAGATCTTGCTAAAATGATGTAATCACACAGTCCATCAAGTCCGCGGACTGCAGCCACCGGACCAGGCCTTTGCTGATGGAACAGAGGCAATATGGCTTAATTAGGTAGGTCGCAAATTTATGTGCCAGCCTGATGACTTCTTGCTCTTGGCGATCATGACCTGTGATAGGTATACTAGGTCTCAGCACACACGCAAGAGGTCTCATACCCCCCGCCGTCCTGGAGGTT